ATTTGCACTGTAAATATCTGTGGTCAAATTCTATCCTTTAATCAAACAGGTGATTCAAGACGCGTGGCTATTAATACAAGTGTTATCACTTTACATAGAGAATTGAGTGACTGAAGAAAATCAAAATAGAAGAAAGAGAAAACCTGAATATTTCCAACAGAAATGGAAAAATCAGCACTAAGACGTCTAAGACTGTGGGACAGAAAAAGGATCAAATGAAAGGGGCAAGTCGTGCTGATAAGACTAACAATGCCTTGCGGACATTGGCCCGATTCAGTGCATATCTGTGAACGTATACATGTTTACCTCATAGCTAGCTTGGATGTAGGTTTTTGCCCAGCTCAGCTTCCCTTCTTTTGAAATGTTGGCAAAAAAAACAGTAGATTGTTGCAATAAATTAAACACAGCTTCTGGATTCAAGGCCTATCTGGTGCCAATACTTCCATGCCAGGTGACTGATCCTCTCTTTGCTTCAGTTATATCATCTGAAAAATAGGGCTTATAAATTATCTTTGCATTTGCATACTGCTTGTTCTCCAAGTCCATAAATCTGCTAATATCAAGGCACATCACAAAAGATGACAAGGGAAAATTCTTTAACTACTTATTCTGTAGATGGAAACTTCTGTTAAATTTTCAGACTTGCATAAAGGAAGAAAACATCCTAGCTCCTAAAACTTTTGGCCTTTTGGGGGTAGTTGAGGATGCTCTAACATTAGGTACCTTTGAGGGTCCAAATAATTTCTGCTACTTCCTTTTAAGAGCAGGAAATGAGAGTTCCCTAATCTCTAATTAGAGATTAAAAAAAAAATGTTTCTTCTAAATGGATACGAAGAAGACGATTGTTCTGGGCCAAGGATAAGCAAATTAAAATGCTGTATCTCATCATTTAAGCTCCTACCTCTATGGGGAGCTGGCGTGGCTAGTGAAATTCCTGGAATCCAATATCTTCAAAGGAGCAAAATTACAAGCAATTTTCTCTTTCAAAAAATAATATCTATATAAGATTCTCATTCTTGGGTTAAACAACAAAGAATAACTCACCAGAGAGTAGTGATAATTACCAAACAAGATCATAGGAAGAGAATAAACACCAAAAAGGAATCATTTTCCTGATTTAAAGGGATTGAAAAATACCTCATAGAATACATCTTGCCTTCACACCTAGGCTGTGCTCCAAAAGAAGCCTAGAAAACTGTTCTAGGATTTAGCCAATGTAATAAAAAAGACTTTCTGAAGAATTAAAATTAGTATGGTCTGAAAAAAGAAATTGAATTGAGAAGCAAAAACCTGAGAGACTGAAACAGTATCACTCCCAAGAGACTTATGATCAGAAACCTTAGGTAACATGTAGACCAGAAACCAGAATGCATACGTCCGAGGTAGGCAGTCTGGTGTCCAGCAGTCCTGGACTGCTTCAGCCATCATATAATCCCAAAGCTTTCTGCTAGCCGAGTGGTCTGAAAGATGGTCTAATCCACTGAGCATCATATATACACTAAAGAAAGGCAGCATAGCCTGTCTGTACTGGCCATATGGACATAAGGAAAAAGGCTGGTAAGATGACAGGTTCATTAAATATGAAACATACACTGTCCTGAGGAAGTACCTTACAATAGTCCAAATACCACTCAATCCTCAAAGAGCTATTATAAAGACAGAGTAAAACGTCAGTAATTATTCAAAAACATTTTTGCAACTTTGGAGCCCAAAACTTATTGATTTTATGAGACTTGGGCTCCTAAGCAACTTAGGCACATTTGAAAATTTTACCTTTGGAGCCTAAAGCACAACCACTAATTGAGATAAAATCCTACTGAGGTAGAAATGTCATTAGCTGGAAATGTTTTAAGTTGGTCAGAACTCCACTATGACTTCACAATATACATAGGTTCAGCTGGGGTGACAAAATGTGTAAATTCCTGTCAGCACAGAATGACAAGGCTGTAACATCCTGACCTACCTTTCAATAGAACCAAGTAAACTAGAAATAGTAACTTGGGATACACTCAGATCATTGGCAAATGAATCCCACAGGTACGAGGCTTAAACTTCAGGCTGAGATACTGAAGAAGATGGAGAAGCAATCCATGCACAAGTCATTACTGTTTAGCATGTGCTTCCAGAGAAATTGCATCAAGCTTACACTAGCAAATAATATGGTCAAAAGATATTTGAACAGTCAGCACGGGCCCATTAGAATGCAGAATGCCTTTTGTGCCCAGAGATCTTTGCTACCAAACACACAGACAAAACCACCTCGTGACCTCCTAACACACATTCTTCTAGGAATGATGAGCCAGAGGCTAGTGGCTTCCTGCCAAGGTAAGTAGGGAATCTTTTAGTTTCTCAAAATCTACTTCAGTGGATTTGGGCTTCTGTGTTTGATGCACTACTCTTTGACATGTTGATCGCTACCATGAGCTTACTTTGTCTCTCTAGTTATGTTCTGTTCCTGCTAGCTACTGGTATGTGGCAATCAAAGTTATGTGGACTAAAGCCATAGGTTCCACTGCAGAGCTTCCAAGCATGGAAAAGGGAAAGGCAGTCAAGTGTCTTTCTGGTGTTTGAAGGAATATATGGCGATGTGCCTGTATGTTCAGATTACAATATAGAACAAATAGTTCCTAGTGCAAGCAAGCCCATGTCCAGTGCCCGAATACTGATATGCAATTGCAGTCCTAGAGGCTACCCTCTGTAGGCATCAGCTCCTATCACTAGCTTTAGATGCGTCATTGTTACTTCAGTTTGCATGAGAAATGACTGGAATTCCAATCCTAAATTACTGCCAAGGCAACTAGTCTATCTCCAAGAAGTAATAAATCGGTTGTTGTGTTGCCCATTTTCAATGGGATTTCAGAGTAGCCAAGATGATCTTGTGTGGCGATACCAACACAGCTGAGGCTAGAAGGCCTACCATGGGTTGGTTGCTTACACGATCTCTTTGATTTGAAGTCCCATGCCATAGGACTATAGGAAAGGTAGGGCCCACTCTGGCCATTAAATCCAGTCCCCTGCAATTACAAGAAAGTATTTTATAGATGTTAAGTTCAAAATTGTCCACAAAAACAGCCACTCTGGCCCCTCCTGAATACTACTGACCCCAAGCATTCCCAGCACCCTATAACTAACTAGCATCTTTAATGCAAAATGCCCAAAAGCTGTAATATTGCAATGGGGCACAGGAACAGAGCAGGAAAGACCAAGAGCTCCACCAATGCCACGCTCTTTTGCCCAATCCACTCTGCCGTGTGGTCCATTTAGCTGGCTCCTATCTCATTTTCCTTCTGTCTTGTCCTATAGTAGCAGGGGCAGTAGTGAGTCTCTGAAAGATTGGCAAATGACAAGTCCACCATGAAGCCACAATTTCCTCTGGCCTGCTATACTGTCAAGTTGTTCTCTGGCATGTCCTATCCTTTGTAACATCTTGTTACTTTACATTTTTGCCAGCCAACTAATTTTCAGACTTCTCCTGAACCAGTAGTATTCAGTGTCCTTCTTGACTGTCCAGTGCTCACACCTGTAAAGGAATACTAACCATAGACAGCACTTCAGCAACTTTAATTCCAGTTTATTCTGATGGAAGCAGACCACTGTCCTAAGACTACTGAATGTAGATTTTGCTCCCCAAATTCTGGTTCTGATCTCAGTATTGTATCAACCATCCACTATTATGGAAGTTTCCACTGGTACAGCATCAACATTTATTCAACAAGTTACATTATTTTTCTTAATTATTTTCAGGTTTATTTTTTTCAGCCATTGCTCTTCATCCTGGATTGCTTGCTGGCCTTGTTGATGTACTGATAACACCTTTTTCAGATGATGACATGCAGAGTAAATTAACAGCATAGTTACTGTTATTTAATATACTCACCACTCCATTGTTTGTCTTGACCATCTTTCAGGTTGTTCTTGATGATCCTCTCAGGGTAGAAGACAGTCTGGGTGAAAAAACAGCCCTATTTGATACCATAGTCATGCTGCATCTCATCTCTGGTACAGACACTTACTTTTGAGTGCACTGGATAAATCTTGGTAGCTCTTTTGGTAGCAGGTTTTGGTAGCATTCATTATTGTTTTGGTTACTTGGTAGCTCTTTTGTATTTATTCTGCTTAGTGCTAGCATGAATCCTGCCTGAGGCAGGAAACAAGACTCCACGCCATCTTCTGGGGGACAAGGAAGAATCCTTGAAATTCCAGCAGTGACAAAACTGGACCCTTTGACAGCTTCCCACGTCTCATCAGTTAATCCTCCCCTTAAACACACGCAATACATAGTATTCCAGGTCAGCCAATGACTACCACCAAGCATGGTGTAAAAATATGCAAATTAGACAGGAAACAAAGAGAAATTAAATATCTGCTCCCCTACAACCGGAGCCACTTCTCAAATGCTGTATTAATACAACTCCCAACTTTGAGAGTATGTGGCCAGTTTCCTTCCTCTGGAACAGGTATGATAGTTACCATGGTGACTATTCTGAATTTTCCTTGACTGGATACTGCTTCAGGTCCCAGAGGAGCAAGATGAGGTAAAGGCACCTCCTGTCTTATCTGGAAGTAACAGAAACAAAGCTTTTTCTTCTTTCATTTGGTGAAATGAGATTAATTGTTTTCTTTGACAGGAAGGACTGGATCCACTTGTCTTTCTGATAAAAGGTGCGTAGTTGGATTCCTTTGGGAGGGACCTGAGGATTTGCTTATTTATGAAACACAGTCTCATAATTTAATCATACACTGCTTGGAGCGTGTGTGTAGACATGAGCAAACATCAGAGGTGATAGAGTGAGAAAGACCAAATGTCTTCACACTGGAAGTCCTTGGAAACACCCAAGGACTTTTAAGATTAATGTAAATCTTAAAATGCTTTTAGGACCAGATCACCTGTAGGGTATGCCTGCCAGGAACGGTTCAAGCAAGCACTCTACTACCTCTGGCTGCCCTCAGTACAGAATCCACTCATGTGTCAGGAGACATTTGGATCCAATGGTCTTCACTGATACGTGGCAACTGACAATGTTTAAGGGAACATGAAACCTGAGGTGTACTTGTGAATCAAGGGCAGTCCAGTCACAAACTTCCACCATTTGATACTTGGTACTTGTCTCCAGAACTGCTAAATCCAGTCAAGCGCTAAGGCACTTCACCCTTCCCAGGCGAGGTCTAAAGGGTGACCTGAGTGAAGAGCCCAGGTCTAAGGTGGCACTGAGCCAGGACAAGAGGGCAAAAGGCACTTTGTCCCCAACTGGACTTCAAAGAGAATGCTGATGCAACCGCAGGATACAACAGATGCTAACACATCCAAAGACACTTCAGTCTACCTACGCATGCACAAAACTGCAAGTTTCAAATGCCACAACACTTATGTTGCCAATGCCTCAACAGAAGCACAAAGGCTTTGGTGCCCTTGAAACCAACATACTAACAAAAGGAGCTGTTAAAAGTGTTGAGTGATACCCAGAGCTGAAAAGAGAGGGCTCTTGACTTAGCAACACAAGTCGACTAACTGGGAGTGATCACTAAAATAGCTAGAGAGCTTAACAACAAGGACTACAGTCGCAAGGGTTGGAGTTGTGCTGATTTCAACCACTGGGCAGCTCTGGTGGGAACTCCTTTAGTGGCTGCAGTCAGAAGGGAACTAGATGCATGCTGGAGTCCTGAGGTAATATGTATGCTAAAGGTGAATCCTTAAGCCAAGCTATTGGTGCCTTTGAGACAAAAAAAAAAAAAGGAGCTCATTGAGTTTCCCACATAAAACATGCTGGAGGGCAATATCTAAAAATGAATCCTGTATAGATGTTATCTTTGAATGAGCACTCTAATACCCGTTTTACTGCTGGCCTGACTCACACAAAGATTTGAAGCAATTTGGATAAAAGGCACTGCAACCTTGTAGATAAATTACACATCCGCTACCTCAGAAATCGCTGGGGTAGGTAGCTGTGTGACTTGTTGAAAATCAAATGAATTCTCTTCTTCTGGAAAATGAACTTGTAAATATATAGGCCCCAATCTGATATACATTTATACACATACTTAGTTTTCTTCATGAGAGTCATCAATCATCACTGGCAGCCCTTGGTGTTGGGAGACAAGGGAGATTGCGCCTTTGGTGGGTTACTATGTACCACCACAGCTTCTCGAGTGGCTGAGTCCAATGCTCGACAAGTAGACCCTCCAGCAAGTTGCACATACAAACTCAGTTGAGCTTGCACCGGCATGCTGAGTACAGTCTTGTCTTACTTCCCTCTGATGCCTCTTCTCTATCCCATCACTGACTCTCCATCTCAAAGTGACGTAGGCCCCGATTCACAGGGGCTTTCTTCTCGCAGCGGTCCAAAGCAATTGATTCCCAGTGTTGGCCATTGATAGGCAGCTTGCGAAGATTTTTCTCACAGACATCAGAAAAACAGAGTTTGGGCTGTCCAAGCTGACGTTTGCCAGTGGTCAGCTCATTCTAGAGTATGTCCTAAGTGATTCGTCCATCGCTCATAAGATTCACATGTCCTAACCAACAGAGGCGTCTCTGTTCATGAGAGTAATTCTATGAAATATATCATATAAAGCTGAGCGGGTACATCAGACTGCAAGTCCGAAACAGTGTCTTGTAGTCTTTTGTCTGTCTGTATCCATCTGTTACCTCAACTTATATTACAAGCTTTTGCAAGTAGAAACCACCTTTTTACTCTGGATCTGTACAACACCTGGCAAAATGGACTCCTGGTCCAAGAGTAGGGCTCCTAAATGCTATATTAATACTACTACTAATAATAATAATACTAATAATAAATCCTGCCCCTACTGAGATCAATAGCAAGAAAATATTACAGGATTAGGTAGTAAGCACTCCCTGAGAACAATAGTAGCAAAATCAGGCCCCATAAATGTTCAAGAACTGCCAATGAGTTCTGTAAGAACAGAATGAGACCTATAACTATCCCTAAAGAAAACTGTTGATCAGTTTTCCACTCCACTAATTTATTTAAGTATAGCTAGTAAACAGGCTACCTAGAATTAAATGTATAGAAAAGTTGAAGATATAGTAATCATTGAGATAGAGGAAAATGAAATTTCATTCCATCCAGGAAGAGCACACACCAACTGCTGAAGCTTCCTTAGCCTGACGAAGGGTTCTTGAACCCGAAAGCTTGCTCAATAACTATTCTCCAACCATTTGGGCCGGTCTAATAAAAGATATCAAATTCACCCAAGGAACCTTGTCTGGTAGAAACTTAAGCATTTTAAAAATTAAAGCTTACATTTTGCAAAAAAAATGGCGGATTAACTTCTGGTACTTCTGACTTGCCTGGGAAGACTTCCACTTGACCATAAGCATAGAAATCTTGATTATAACATTAAAATAAAATGTATATATGTTTTGTGATATGCTTACTACATACATGTATATTACTGTTTTATTATTCCAATTACATTTTTAAAAATTGTGAATATGCATTTTTTCACATCATATAATAGCCTATTTATCCTCTTTGATTGGAAATACAATTGTGCCTGTGCTCAGGTTTTCACAGCCCCCTTTGTCTTACTTTTGACCCTATATCTTTTCAGGTCCCTTCTTTCCTACATCCTGCCTTTTAATATTCTGAGACATAAGAGCCCCTGTCGTTGCTATGACTATTTAAGAAAAGACTGTAGTTTTTACCGTCGGACTCTGTGGATGACAAATGTGAAGAGAGAAAAGAGCGCTTTCAATATTTCCCACCAAATGCGGAGTACTCCAAGACACTTGAGAGCTTGCCATTGAGTCAATGGGAGAACCGGGATTATATAATTTTAGACATCAGGAAGTCCTGTGTTTATTTCTTCAGATCACACGGCCCCAGCAGATGCTGCTGCTACAGGAGCTGGTACATCTACAGTCTCTCACAAACGTATCTGGAGATATTTCCTAAAAACAAAAAGACAAGTTAACTCCCACAAACATTGCCCCAAACATGCTTTTGTCCAGCCCGGTGGTTCCTGATCTGCAATGCCTGGACCGCTCACGGTCTGTGAGACCGTGGCACGGGGTCTGCTCCTGCTCTGCAGATCGCGCTGCGCCCCTCGGTGTCATTACAAGTCGGCTGGGAAGAGCGCACGGTGCTGCCGGAGCAATTCCAAGGGCTGCAGCGGAGCATCGGTCAAAAAAACCGTGAGAACCATGGCTGTAGCACGTATCGCCCACTTTTTAACCCCCTTCCCAATCCTTCGGTCAATTTGTGCTTCCTCCAAAAAAAAAAAAATGAATCTTAAACGGTCAGGGCTGATCAGTGTGATAGCAAGGGGGGCAACCGCCCCGGGTGCCGACGCAAAGTGGGTGCCCAGCCGGGGCAGGGGATGGAGCCACGAGAGGCTAGTTTCGTGGGGACGGGGAAGGGCGCCTCGCCACTGCAGGCAAGCGCAGGGTGGGGGGGGCGTCAAACTTCGCTGCTACAGCCCTGGTGGGGATGCTCCGAAATCTGATGTCCCGTCCATTGCCCCAATTCAAGGGCTGTAGGAACCACCTTTTCACCTGCACCCCCCTGGGGCTCTGCCTTGAGCTGCCACGGCCCCCTTACAGCCTCCCTCAGGGACCACCCAGGCTGCTGCTTGTGGGGGGGGGCGGTACTTTTTGACTGGGGGGGCAGTTTCCTGCCTCCACCCTGCCCCTCCTCAGGGGCTCCTGCGTGCTCCCCTGACAGGATCATCCCCGCCCAACCGGCCCTCAGCAGGGGCCGCCGGGAAACCCCGCGCGCGGGACAGGGGGCGGGGCCTGAGGCAGCCGCGAAACAGTCTCACGCTCCAACTGCTGCAATATC